TTATTCTCACCCCAAAGTGGTCCTTGTGATCTAAAATGTTTAAGTATAATGAAAATAAGATTTTAAATGACATGTAAAAATACATTTTAGTTCTTTTGAACGACCAGGGACTGGGTGGCACTGTGGGTTAGGCATTGGGTTATTAACTGCATGGTTCAGCAGTTCAAACACACCAGCTGCTCTGTAGGAGAAAGATGAGACTTCTCTGTTCTCATAAAGATTTACAGTCTCTAAAACCCTATATAGGATTGCTATGCATCAGAGTCAACTCAATGACAAAGTGTTGGGGTTGGGGGGAGTTTTGAATGAAAAGTGTACATGTCATATAGTACGAATACTTCCTAGAGGATAATGACAGCTTAAATGTAGCAACTTTGCAGGGGTGTGTGTGTGTCAAGATTTTGATGCATAAGCAAATGTGGTGAAGAAAGCTGATGGTGCCCGGCAATCAAAAGATATAGCATCTGGGGTCTTACGGGATTGAAGATAAATAAGCAGCCATCTAGCTGAGAAGCAACAAAGCCCACATGGAAGCACACCACCAGTTTGTGTGATCATGAGGTGTCGATGGGATCAGGTATCAGGCATCAAAGACCCAGAACAAAAAATCATATTGTTGTGAATGAGGGAGAGGGCAGAGTATAGACCCAAAGGCCATCTGTAGACAATTACACGTCCCCTCACAGAAGGGTCACAAGGAAAAGACAAGCCAGTCAGGGTGCAGAATAGCACTGATGAAACATACAACTTTCCTTTAGTTCTTTAATGCTTCCTCCCCTCCCCGACCCACTGTCATGACCCCAATTTTACCTTACAAATCTGACTGGACAGAGCATGTACACGGTACAGATAAGAGCTGGAAACACAGGGAATCCAGGAGACATAAACCCCTCAGGGCCAATAATGAGAGTAGGGATCCCAGAAGTATAAGGGGAAGTTAGGAGAAGAAAGGGGGAACCCATCACAATGAGCAACAGATAACTCCCTCCTAGGGGGTCAGACAACAGTAAAGTGGGTGAAGGGGGATAGTGGTCAGTGTAAAACATTAAAAAAAACAACAATTTATAAATTACCAAGGGTTCATGAGGGAAGGAGGGTGGGAGAGGGGGAAAATGAGGAGCTGATAGAAGGGCTCAAGTAGAAAGAAAATGCTTTGAAAATGATGATGGCAACAAATGTACAAATGTGCGTGACACAATGGATGGATAGATTATGATAAGAGTTCCCAATAAAATGATTTTTATAAATATTTTGCATTCACTATGCACAAATGATTTCACCAACTGCATAAAAAATAGAAAGAGCCCATAGAGTGAGGGGACAAAAGATTTCAGCCATCACTGGACAAAGAACTGAGCTCTAACATTTATGGGAAATTTCAGCACTTCAACAAGAAAAAGATGAATCACCCAATTTAAAGAGGAGCAAATGGCATGAGTAGACAAATCACCAAAGAAGACTGACCTTCAGAAAACAGCACACCTGAAGAAATGCTCGTGGTCACCAGCCATTAGAGAAAGGCAAATGAAAACAATAACGAGATACCACCTCCCCCAGAATTAATAACAGTACATGCTGGTGAGGTGCAGAGAGACTGGCACCTTCACGCTCTGCTGGTGGGACGGTCAGAAGGAGCAGCCACAGTGCAATATAGCCCGATGCTTCCTGAAACCGCTGAGAATAGAAGTTCCACGTGACCCAGCAATTCCTCTGCTTGATTTGTACCCTAGAGAAATAAAAGCTGTGACACAAATCGCTATATTCACACCCATGTACTTCACGGCGCTATTCACAGTAGCAACAAGATAGAAACCATCTAAGTGCCCATCAAGGGAAGAATGGATAAACAAACAAACAATATGAGGTGCATGCACACTCTGGAATGTGACGCACACTGAAGCACAATAATAAATCTGTGAAACGCCTTGCAGTCAGGAGGACATTAAGGAACCTGGAGGGCCCAAAATTCACATCATTGTGAATGAGGGAAGTGTAGATTGGGGACCCAAAGTCCATCTGTAGGCAACTGGACATCCCCTTACAGAAGGGTCTTGGGGAGGAGATGAGCCAGTCAGGGGGCAGTGTAGCAACGATGAAACATATATCTTTCCTCTAGTTCCTAAATGCTTTCCCCCACCCCCACCCAATCATGATTCCAATTCTACCTTACAAATCCGACTAGACCAGAGGATGTACACTGGTGCAGATAGGAACTGGAAACACAGTGAATCCAGGACAGATGATCCCTTCAGGACCAGTGGAGAGAGTGGTAATACTGGGAGGGTGGAGGGAAGGGTGGAGTAGAAAGGGGTAACTGATTACAAGGATCTACATATAACCTCCTCCCTGGGGGAGGGACAACAGAAAAGTGGGTGAAGGGAGACATTGGACAGTGTAAGATATGACAAAAAAATAATTTATGCATTATCAAGGGTTCATGAGGGAGAGGGAAGCAGGGAGTGAGGGGGAAAATGAAGAGCTAATACCAAGGGCTCAAGTAGAAAGCAAATGTTTTGAGAATGATGATAGCAACAAATGTACAAATGTGCTTGACACAGTAGATGTATGTAAGGATTGTGATAAGAGTTGTATGAGCTCCCAATAAAATGATTTTTTTTAAAAAGGAACTTGAAGGGCATTATGATGAGAGAAATGAATCAACTGCAAAAGAACACACCGCGTTTTGAGATGACAGCTATAAAAGTTCAAGAAAAGACACATTCTTTGATGAATGGGAGGGGAAGAACAGGAGGGAGGTTCGCTGACCAGACAGTAGATAGATGCTCATCTGGTGCAGGGGAAGATTAAAGAGGAGGTGGTAAAACAGGAGGCACAGAGGCCAGTACTTAACATACACATTCCTGCAGTTGTGCTGACATACACGTAGATGCTTGGATAAACACTCGGACTGGACAGATGTGGGCGTCTACCAACAAATACATGGGGGTTTGAGAAAAGATATTTTCATTTACCTTTGCTACGGATATAGTCATGAATGTGGTGGTACACATGGGGGACCAGGTTGTGAAGAATTCTTAGACATGACCAAACACCTCAAGGGAAATGAGTCTCTGGCCTTTGGAGCTCAGAACCATCATCTTGGGGAAGATGCAGTGCGACTGGCAGAGCTGTGCACAGAGGACATTCTGAGCTACATACTCTGGGAAGTAGCCAATGGAGTCGTAAAAGCTCATGGGCAGGTGAAGCCATTGGTCTCTCTCCAGCCAGAGGAAAGAGGAATTATGAAAATAGAAATATATATTGGACTATTTAGTCCAATGGACTAATGGTTCATGAAAACATCAGCCTCCCATTCCCGAGACCAAAAGAACTAGATGGTGCTCGGTGATCACTATCAAGCGCTCTGCAAAGACTCGCATGGGAAGGTCCTGGTGAGCGCTGGAGAGAAATGTGGAACAAACCCCCAAATCATAAAAGAGACCAGGCTCATTGGTCAGATAGACACTGATGGAGATCCCAAGGACTATGGCCCTTGGTCGCCCTTTAGATCTGGAACTGAATTCATCCCCACCCTGCCCCCGTGTTATAATAATGGGCCATGAGGATCACAGGGACAGCTTTTGTGCAAGGACAAAGTTCAGAGGGTCAGAAAAGATGGAGGCAGGGAAACAGGAGACGCTGGGAGGAAGTAGGATAAGGGATGTTGCATGGAGGGATGGCGATGGATGTGTAAAACTGTTGATCTCTTCTGTCAAACCTTCATTTAATGTACAATAAAAAGCATTTTTCAAAGAGTTCATGATGTAGGATTGGGTTTGTAGTACTCAAAGGAGTAAATAAATAGACTTGGCTGTTAGGAGTTCATTCTTATAACTCAAGGGTGGCTCACGGGCCATGTAAGACCTGCAGCGTCATCAGTGGTGGCTCACATCCCAGCCCTCACCCCAGAGAAGCAGCTCCAACCGTCACACGAGGGGTACGGTACGGTATTTAAATGTTCAATCAGTATGGCTCACAAATGCTGCTATAAATGTCCAAATGGCCTTTGGCAGAAAGAAATTTCCTGACTCAGTAGAACTACTTGCTTTATGACGAATGATGCCGTACACGGCTGCCTCTCTAGTTGAGTCTTACGCTGCTGTGCACATTCCATCTTGTTCAGACTTGACATTGTCCTTTGGGGGAAGGGAATCTTTCTCATGCCCATGTCCTACCTGAGGGAATGGAGAAGTAAGAGTGTTATGTCTGGTGTCAAGCAGGTCCAGGGCTAGCAGGAGAAAGTGACGGGGCCACAGCCCTCACACTCTGGACCCTGGTTCCTCCTTCCTCTTTCGTAGAGTTGCCCCAAGACTCTTCCCATTGGCCGGCGCCTCGTCTTCATAATTCGAAGGGGTCTGTTGCTCATGAAGATGAGAGCCATCATTTGGAAAAGGAGAGCATCCTTAGCTCTTTCATTCAAACTCCTTTCTCAAAAAGTCTTCATCAAACTGCTCAACCTTGCTGAAGCACAAGATAGTTACGAATTCACACCTGTTCAGTCTTTTTTCTGGGAAGTGGCGCGTTTCAACCCAATAGTCCATTCAAACTCTTGAAAGGAAACGCTTACGGTCTTGTAGCAATAAGCCCTTGAACACGCATGGTGTCCTGTGGGTGTCTCACCCACCCAGACCCGTCGGGGTTCTTTTTTGGTCCCTGCAGTTTGAGCCCTGTTTGGAGAAGAGTAAACACAATACCCAACTGAGAAAGGACAGTTCTGTAATGTGGTAGAAAGTCAGGATCTTATGGAAAAGTCTCTTCCAGGCGTCTATCTGGTGTCATTGGATGGAATTTGCCAGTCAGTCCTCCCCCGCACCTCCCTGTTCCGACTTCCTTCTTAAAACATGCTCAGGATTAAGTCTTGTCGTCCGGAGGAAAAGTAACTTATTTGAAAAAGCAGCGACAAACACCTCTTTCCTTTGGCACAGGATGGAGCACTTGGCCATTGGTGGTAGTCTATTGTTCTGCAAACAGTCAACCCCTGTTTCTCACCGAGATGGTCCGACTGCACTGATACGGGTCTCCCGCTCCTCAGGGATATGAAGTGAAGGGCTCTGACCCAGAAAGTGCCAGGTAATCTCAGAAAAAGACAGATAGAAAGGCTTTTTTTCCCCTTAAGATTTTTATTTGATTTTACACTCTTTTGAACTCTCTCCTACAGACTCTCTCAGCAACGCAAAATGGGGTCTCGGGGGTGTGGAGGTTGCTTAAGTGGTCTGCTGGTTCCACTGGCTCTGTGGAGCATCGTTGTTAATCTTTTACTGTACTTCCCCAACGGGCAAGCCGCCTATGCCTCCACTAGTCGTCTCAGCAACCACGTGTGGTACTTCGAAGGCATCTGCTTCTCGGGTGTCGTGGTAAGTGTGGCTTCGGAAGCTTGGGGTCGCACCAGGGGACTTTGACTAGAAATTGCCGTGTTCCCAAGTAAAAGTCACAAACAATGGGAAATTCATCCTGCGCGCCCTGGGTTTGGGACGTGGGTGGGTCGGGGAGGAGGCGAGTAGATTAGAGTTGGAGGTGCTATTTCGTTTTCCACGAGCCACACATTGCTGTAGTTCCATCCGTGCAGGAAATTGGTTCTGGTGAAACCTGGTGGGACGTTGTACTGGGAGAAACATCGTGTCCCACGAATGTCACATTTACATGAGGCCGTCTCCGGAGCATTGCTTTTGCCCAGAACCGATTTGCTGTCAGCACTCGCCATGCCCCTCGATGGTGGGACGGTGGGGAAGACACACAGACTCACTCGGCTTTCAGGCAAACCTGCATTTAAACCTGAATCCTGTCATTCGTGCTGTGAGAACGTTAGCCAGTGGTCTATTATCTTTCAGCCTCTGTTTCCTAATCTGAAAAACAGAGAAATGTTTACTTTGCAGGATAATTGTGGGATTAAATAAAATTCCATATGTAAGATGCCTGGGTCGGAGCCAGCCACGACTGTGGTTTTAGATACTCCTTGGAGCATGGCCAAGTTATTTGCAAATGTCCCGCATGACACCCCTCCTAACGGAGGGCGTTTTGGAAAGTGGAATCACAGGATCCGTAGGAAGCAGCTATGAATGTGTGTATGACGAGTGTGTGCCCTTCCGATACAGACAAGCCGTGAGCAAATCACGGTGCCAGCTCCGGAACAGCCGCTTTTCTGGTCATGTCACTTTTGAAAACAATACATTTAACACCAGAGAAAACTCCTTAAACTCGATTGCCCTATCTCTGTGGCGTTTTCATTACTATAAGATCTGGATAGCTATGCTACAAAACCATTTTTATGTACTTAATGTGTTTGCGTGTTGGATGAGTAAACTGGAAAATGTTGCCACCCAACACTCCTGAAGTGGCTGTTAGGCACTAAGGCAGCTGCCACTGAAAACACACACCTTTAGAAAACAGTGGGGTGTGTGTGTGTGTGTGTGTGTGTGTGTGTGTGTGCGCTAGCTATGTCCAGATCCATGAAAATGCTTACATATTTCAACTTGTAATGTGCTCCAAAAGAGCATATTTCTTTCCAAGGAAGTCATTAATACAAGGAAAGAGTCATATGAACAGCTATTTGCAGTGCTGTTATTTATAGTAGTATGTAACTAAAAGAAGCATGCCGGCAGCGCGTCGGCAGATGAATGTGCATGCTCACTTCAAACAATGATGTAAATTTCCATTAGGAAGCTACAGAAACATGGAAAAGGCTACTAGTTAGTGTTCAGCGGGGAAAGGAGATACAATAAAATTGTGAGTAGATGATGATGGGACTTTATAAACTAGGCTCCTGGAGAAAGCTATTAAAGTACATGTGCAAGAATAGGTCAGGATGCTGTAATTAGGGTGATTGTCTTCCAGGATTCTTGAGTCCTCATTGCAATTATATCTTTAAATGAAACAAAAGGAAGGGCAGGTCCTTCACCCAAGTGACACGCAGACATCAGGGCTCCAGACCAAGGGCTGCATTATTTCTGCTGCTATTAGAATGAAGTGGGTTTTTTAAAATCATACTTCAGTCATACCTCCTCGTTGTTTCCTCCTATATGCAATGGCAATAAATGGAATAATTGCCAGTCATAAACAAGGCAGCCCAGAATTTATTAAAATCCATGATCATGTATGACATTGGAAAGGATATGAGATCCTTTGGCTTTAATCCATGCAAAACATTCAAAACTGGGTAATAAAAACTGTTCTCTATTTTTTTCTTATCCCAGTATTCTTGCATCAAAATATTAGATCCACATGAAACCCCTTAAAGAGAAAATAGACAGATGATTAAATGTATAGATAAGTCAACGAAAAGTCAAGGAACACAGGAACTGCCAAGACTGGTTACAAACATGAAAATAGCCGTGTGCTCAGTGTTGAAATTCAGGACCAAACCGCGAGGATAAGGGATAGATGGGCAAGGTGCCACCTGCAACTTTGTGTCTGCCCAAACCGAGGATTGTAATAAAGTC